TCTTTTCAAAACTTTCAGCATTCTCTTCTTTTTAATGAACAACTTTCCTTAGTTCTTTATTTTTGTATCATGTCAATGACGATATTTTAAGGGCATGAATAGGTTAGATTTTCTAGTTTTATGATCAAGCCAAAAGTCATTTTCCACTTTTTGTTTTGATTATAAACATGTGTTCTGTTTCTTTTTGTTTTAAAACTTAAACTTTTTTGTGCGTGTGTGGAAGGGGAGGGGTAGTGTGTGTCTTTTTGTTTTAAAAAGAAAATGCTTTTTACATTTCAAAAAAAAAGTTAAAAATAAAATACAAGCAATAAAAAATAATCTTATGCAAAAAAGAGTCATATGCAAGAAAATATTTTCGAACAAAATAATATGAAAACAAGAGTCGAAAAGAAAAAAAAAATCAGGTTCAAAAAAGAGTCTTGAGAGAAAATAAGAGTGGAGGAAAGAAAAGAAAAATAAAAGTGAGAGAAAGACAAAAGTGGTATGAAACATGAGCGACAAGAAAACACACTTACTTTTTCGCGAGTCACCACTGTACACATTAATTTATCTTTAAACGGGTGGTATTAGCATCTTGGAAGGTAGTAGCCTACATATTAAAGTGACTTCTTGAAATCCATTGTCGACATCATTTTATGTCGGGTTGCTACTTATAAAGTTTTTATGAGTGGCTGTGGTTGGAAACCAATGTTAGTGTGTGGAAAACCTCAAGGGCTAGTAGTCAATCCATGTGTCTTCTTGATGTAAAACTTTTTGAATCAAAACGGAAGTGTGCACATTCCTTGGTTTTGTAAAAAGTTGTGTGTTTTTGAAAAGAAGAGGATTTAGAATAATTTTTATTTTCAAAACAAGAATGGTTTATGACATGTTGGCTTGAGATTAAATTTACGAGGTTTCGCTTATGGAGTCCTTCCTGAGACGAATATGATCCGATAACTTAGAATCTTTTAGATTGTTGATCATTCATCTTTCTAGCATGTTGATTGTAATGGATTTGTTGTTGTTGTTTTTGTTTAAGGAAAAATGGCTAAGTTTGAGAGTGTGTTAGGATTGACTTTTTATTGCATAAATGTGTGTCGGTAGGTCTGTTTGACCATAAAAATGAACCATTTCCCATCATTACTAGCTAAAACGATTTACATATTCTTAAAGTATAACATGCATAGAATATTTCGGGATAATTTACAACATATGGTAGTTTAGAAAAAATATGAGAAAAATGTGGTTAAAGTTCGAAGAAAATCACAGAAAAACCTTTTTCGAGGAATTGCGCCTGGCGCATTTTTTAGGTCAACTTGGTCAAAACGTTTTCACTTAATGAAGGGCAAGCGAGTCATTTTCAACCTATTTGAACCAACCCAAAACCGTGAGTCCATGTCAAGGAAGGTTTGTTGAGAGAATCTCAACTTATTTCCGTTAAAAATTGAGGGTAGTTCAACCAACTTGAGGGCCTATAAAAGGAAGCCACTCCCCCAATAGCAAAATCATCCATTCTCATCTCGTTTTCATCTTCCTTTCTCTCGTTTTTAGGTAGAGAAATTGTTCATAAGCTTTAGATTTACATTTTAGTCGTTCGTTTCTTGTATTTTCATTATTTTACTTATCGTAGTGCCTTTAATTCGAGTTTGTACTTCCGTCTTCATCTAATCCGTTCCTTAAAGTTATTAAGCAAGTTTACACTCCCCTCACGCTCGAAAGAGAAGAGGGTCAAGCTAGAACGCCTTGTATGCCGTTATTTTTCATTTAAATTCAATGGAAATTCCTTCTTTTATGTTCTTGTTGGTTTTCTTTCCTTTAATTATGCACTAAGTTATTTATCGACCTCTTTGTGAAATGCCTTAGTCAAATGATTTGATTTTCGAACATTCTCGAGATTTGACAAGATTGCGCCAGGCGCAATCTTGGGTTAGTTTTTTAAAAAATGTCTTTACGTCATTTTTCCATTTGGCCATTGGAAAATTGATTTATGCACTAAAGCCCAACTCAGAGAAGGGTGGGTTGGGTAAAGTAATAGGAAACGAATATGGGATGTGACTTAGACATAAGTGCATAAAAAAGGTCTTAGACATAAGCCCTATGACCCATAAATGAAAATGAGTTGATAATCACTTTTTAGGATTGTAATCACACATATAAATATGATGGTAGGTTACCCTAGCCTCTACAGCAACCAAAAGTGGCTGGTGCATTTTCCCCAACCAATTGCATTTTGAATCATTCACTTATTTAAAACCATTTTAAAAAGCACATGTCCCTGAGGATTCAACCTTGGATTACTCCCAAGTATTACTTGTGACTCTGCACATATCTCTTATCTTTTGAAGGTAGAGGAAGTCCCAATAGAAGCGCTTGGATCAGTTTCAGTGTAATGACTCTTTCTATTCTATTTTTCCATATGCAAACGTTTTCATCTCCAATGGTCCAAGTCCGATCATCGTGCTATTGCTCTGCATCTCTATGATTCGTCCAGAGCCCACAATAGGAGTATTTTAAAACCCTTTTGGTTTGAGGAATACTCGTCTCGGAATTCAGATTGTGAGTAGGTCGTTATATAAAGGGATGCCCATTTGTCTGTTACAGAGACCTCTTTCTCTTTCTCGGACAGTATTCATGCCTCCTCCTCAACTCTGGGCTGATTGGGTCATTCAAACATCCGGTAGCTTTTTAAACATATCAAAACACAAAAAAACAGCCCTTGCATATGCTTACAACTAGCTTCTACCCCTTGATTCCACTCTTATTCATTTATTGGAGAATGATTTTTCTGGCCTTTTAGAGCTTCTTAAAACATTGACTCAAATGGGAAGATTGCAACACTAAGTAGTTTCACAAAAATGGTTCTATGAGGAAAACATGTAACACTATTCGGGGCATCGCAAAAATGATAATGGTTGCTAGATGGAAGACTTGGATGCGATTGAAAATACTTTCATTACCAAATTTTCAATCTATTTTCACTTATTCTAATCCTTCAACTTCAGATCTTGAAGCCATTATAAACCTCATTCAACCAAGTGTATCTCCATAGATGAATTCTCACCTTTTTGCTTCCTATGGTCTAGAGGAAATTGAGGCTGCCATTAAACAAATGTTCCGACGAAATCTCCTAGTCCATATGGCTTTCCATCTCTTTTTTATCAGAATTATTGGAATAGTGGGGCCTAAAATGGTGGAAGCTTGTCGTCCTAAACAACAATATGGAGGTCTGGCCCTGGAATAACACCTACATTACCCTTATTCCAAAGGTGAAGCAGCCAATGTTGGTTTATGATTATAGACCCATCAGCTTGTGTAATGTCTCTTATAATATTATCTCTAAATCGATTATGAATCGTTTGAAGAATGTCATTGGCCTAGTTATTTTTGAAGCGCACTCAGTCTTTATCCCTCATCGGGCTATCACCAATAATCTCATTATTGCCTTAAGTGTCTTCTTTATATTAAAACCTATAAATTTGGTATGAATGGTATGATAGCTCTTAAACTAGATCTTAACAAAGTTGTTGATCAAGTTGAATGGATTTATCTTGAGTATTTAATGAGGAAGATGGGTTTAAATGAAAGATGGATTTTGCAAATTATGCATTCCCTCTCCACAATCAATTTCTCTATTCTTATAAATGGCTCTCAAAGGGGTTTTCATTTTCCCACTCCAGAGGAATTAGGCAGGGAGACCCCATCTCCCCTTGTTTCTCCTTTGTGTCGATGGTCTCTCATTGTTGATGAATAATGCTAATAGAATGGGCCATCTTACAGGTATCAAGTTTGATGTTCATAGTCCATGCATTTCTCACCTCCTCTTTGCAATTGACTACCTCATATTTCTTAAATCTTCGTAATCGAAATGCCTAAATCTTAAACGACTTTTGGAGTGTTATGGTCTAGATTTAAGGCAATGTATTATCTTTTCAAAATCTGCCATGCTTTTCTCTCCTAATGTCAATCCTGAAAGCCATAACTATCTCCAAACCATTCTTAATGTAAAATTGGTAAATGACTTTGGCTCTTATCTTAGGTTGCCTTCATCTTTCTCTAGATGGAAAGGTTTGGATTAGGCATTCCTAAAGGACAAAATTTGGAAATCTATGCAAGGCTTGAAACGTTTTTTCTTTTTAGTTGGAGGAAAAGTAGTTCTTATCAAGAGTATTGGTCAAGCTATTCTATTTTATGCCATGAATGTCTTTCGTCTCCTTAAAAGGATTTTGCAAGGATATCTCTCGAATTTTCGCTCGTTTTTGGTGGGGATCAACTAATGACACTTAGAAAATTCGCTGGATTTTATGGGACAAAAGTGTACTTTCCTAAACAGCTGGGTGGTCTAAACTTTAGAGACCTTAAAGGCTTTAACCAAGCCTTCGTAGCTAAGATGGTTTGGCGAGTTCTCTATAATCCCAACCTCCTGGTCTCCAAAGTCTTAAAAGTCAAGTACTTCCAAAATACTTATGTGATTTCTGCTTCTAATTCCAATAATTCTTCTTATTTTTGGAAAATATTTTTATGGGGAGAGATCCTCTTGTCAAAGGGTTGTGTCCCGTGTTGGAAATGACTCTACTATAAGAGTTTTTTTCAGATACATAGGTGCCACAAACCCTTACCTTCGCCCCATTACTATCACAAATGGAAATGCAGAAATCCATGTGGCTGAGTTTATTGACCAAGAAGGGAATCAGGATGTAAATTCTGTTGCCAATTTCTATTATGGCGAGGATAGAGATTGGATTCTAGCTTTGCTTATAAGTTCATGTAATTTTCAAGACACTTGGCTATGACACTATGACAAACGAGGGACCTATAACGCAAAGAGTGGGTACAAGCTTTTTATCCACCTTAAGTGCAATGAGGTGTCTACCAGCAATGAACATTAAGGTGAAAAGTGGAAAGTTATATGGAGCTTATCTTTTCCTCCTAGAATAAAATTATTTTTATGGAAAGCAGTACATGAGCATCTCCCAACTACACTTAATCTACATAAAAGAGGAATGAATGTGTTACCTCTTTGCTTGTTATGTTCCTCTAGGCTGGAGCGTACGTTCCACGCCATTTTTCTTTGCAAATGAGCTCAAAAGATATAGGATCTGCTCTTCCCCTTTCTGCCTCTATACGCTGCTAACACGAATCTCAATTACATGGATTTGTGGCTGGATCTCATTATCAAAATAAAATTAGATGAAAGGGATTTAGCAGCAATTACCTGTTGGGCTATTTGGAGCGACCGAAACAATGTGATTCATGGGAAACCTATTTCTCTTCCTAAAATAAAATGTGATTGGATTAGCTCTTATATTCAAAATTTCTCACATGCCCAAGTTGGAATCTCTTGGTTACCTAAGGTGACTCGTCAATTTCTTCGAATTTCCCAATGTTAGACGCCTCCACCAGACAATCACTAGAAGCTTAATACTGATGCTTCATGTTATCGCATTTCTTCAGGACTTGGATTTGTTCTTCGCAAGTTGGATGGGGATTTGGTGGCCGCAAAATTAATGAACATTGCCCATCCTTTAACATCTTTGCTTGCTGAAATCAGAGGGATTCTGGAAGGCCTGAAGTTCGCCCCTTCGTTAAATTGCTCGCACGCTCAGTTGGAATCTGATTATTTCATGGTGATCCGCTTGATTCGTGCCAATATTAAATATTTAGGAGATGAGATGAATTTTTTGATGGAGGTGAAAGACTTAGCCCTATTTTCCAAGTGTAAATCAATTCATTGAAACCAACACAAAGTTGGGTAAAAACCTTTTTACTGTAAAGACCATTATGTTAAAAGGGTTGTGATGTGGACCAAGAAAGCACCATTGTCATTCCTCAAAGTCCCATAACGAGATCAAGAGCCAAGAAGCTACAACAAGCTTTACTTTCTCATGTTCAATACTTGGTGAGCTCGGTTAGGGATGATCAAGAGAGGGATGAAGCTTTTCAAGTCAATATCTTCCAAATAGAGCTTAAGGGAGGCGTTGCGTTAAATGAACTCTAATTTTATTTAAAGGAACTGAAGTTGAAGTGGAGTTTAACTCAAGTTGCATTAATGTGTTTAAAATAACATTTTAGTTAGTCGGTGTTATGGCCAACTTAAGTTCCATTAATGTGTTTTAAATTACATTAGGTTTGTTTTGGAGGCTATAAATAGCCTAGCATGTTCCTTTTGAAAACAAAATTTGATGAGTAAATGAAAATAGCCATTGAGCTTCAAAAGCCTACAGCTTGTTATTCTTTGCAATTCTTGAGTGTTAGATTTGCATGCTAGAATAATTCAAGTAGCCTTGACCAAGCTATCTTGTGGAGTTGTTCGAATTTTGAGTTTTGAAACAAGTTTTCTCTACTCTTGATCTTAATCATCAAGGTAAATCCGTTCTAACTTCTTCCTTGGGTTGAAATCATCTTGATTTGGGGGTTTTAGCATTTGTGATCTAGGGGTTTGTATAACCATAAGGGTTCTTAGATCCAATTGGCTATTGTTTTCATATCAGGTTGTAGAAGTAATCCCAAAAGAGATTGAGAAAAGTATGACAAAAACTCATCTTTTGTAAAATTTCTAGATTATTGAAAAGCCCTCTGGCATTAAAATGGATGTAGGCCAAAGTGCTGAACCACTATAATGTTTTGCGTATCTTCCTCTATCTTCATCTTCTTCATTTGTACAGTTAGTGTGTGAATAAAACTAAATGTTTGCTGAACCTAAGTAAAAATCCCTAACAAAACTGGTATTAGAGCAACGTTAGAGGAAATCATCAACAACTTAAAGCAAGATTCACAACATGGCATTAACAAGATTTGAAAAGGAAAATTTTGATGGAAAGGGTGACTTCAAGCTTTGGAAAGCCAAGATCAAAGTTGTTCTTGGACAACAGAGAGCATCAAAGGAAATTCTTGAACCAGAAAAATTGCATCATACCCTTATAGGTGAAGAAAAAGAAACTATGGAGGAAATAGTGTACGACACTATCATTTTGAATCTGAGTGATAGTGTATTAAGGCATGTAAGCCCTAAATCTTCCTCCCCATTTGCGTTTTTCATCTCCCAAAATCCCGAACTTATTTTCAAATTTCTCTCATCAAATCTTCAAGAATTTCAAAAATCTTTCCCACCCCTCTTATTTTCGGCAAGGTCGCGTTGAGTTTGTGGGTGTTTTTCGTTTCGTTTTGAGCAAAGTGCAAAGATTCCATGGAAGGTTCCTCATCCTCTAAGCCATGCGATAAAGAGAAGGGCAAGAAAAAGGTGATGCTACCACACCACCTACTTCACCAGGTTTGGTTCCTCTTGAACCCTCTCTTATCTCTAATGAAAGGATAGTTTTTTATCCTATGGCATAAAGAAAGGAACTAAAGGAAGCTTTGAGAATGAACCCTAGAAAGAACCTATGAATAAGTAGTGAAAGTTATGAAAGAAGAACTTTAGAAGCTCATGTTGTTGGGGTTAATGAAGAAAGCCATGATGAAAAGAAATTAGAATAGTAGTTTAGCAAGGTCTACCTTAAAAAATCAATCTGTGGGTGGTAAATGCTATGATTTAAGAGATAAAATTGTTAGGATTAATGAAAGAATTGTATTGAAAATATAAAAAAAAAGGGAGGTGAGGGTTAAGGAGAATGAGGATATTTGTGCCAAGATAGTGGAACTAAATGAAAAATGGCAAAGATTTATGGAAATTCAAGAAAATTGAGTGGAGAAATTCAAATAGCATAGATGATATGAACAATCGCCATAGGTTGGATTTCCCTCAAAATAATTTCTTATCCGAATCTTTAAAGTTGTCTATCCCTCCCCCTCTTTCCATTATTGTTGCTATGGATGTAGAAAGCCAATAAGAGGTCAGTAGTGATTTCGAACATGACACAGAGCCATTGGAGCATTTGGATTCAGCCACGGTCGAAATTCATTGCGAAATTGCACCTGGTGCAATTTTTTAGAGCATTCCACCGCCCACTCCATGAGGTATTTCGTCTCCTAATTTTCCAGATCTTATTTTGACTAAAAAGACTTTAGGTTTTTATGATTTAGAACCATCGCCATAGGTTGAATTTCCCTCAAAACAACTCCTTATCCGAATCTTTAAAGTTGACTGTTGGGACTTTCTCTACCTTTAAAAAAACTAGAGACTCATGCAAGCGCACACAGTCACAGTAATACTCGGAAGTAATCCAAGGTCAAATCCTCGGGGACTTGTGATTTAGGAATGATTCAAAATCAAGTAATGTCGTGAAATGATTCAAATATGCAATTGTGATTTAGGAAGAAAAATGTAATGAAATGTTGTTGTTTGAGGTTTTAACTAACAAGAAATTTAATAAAACTCAACATATTTGCTTCTTACCTTAGTTTTGATGCAAAACATGGAAAACACACTTTGTTGGAAAAATGCACCAGAGTTCTACTATTTCACTATCGCTTTTGGTTGCTGCAGAGGCTAGGGTAACCTACAATCATATGTCTACGTGTGATTACAATCCTAGGGAATATTTATCAACTCATTCGCTTTATGGGTCAGAGGACCTATGTCTAGGACCATGTTTTATGTGCTTATGCCTAAGTCACATCCCAAATTGGTTTCCTATTATTTTACCTAACTCACATTTCTCAATGTTGTGCTTTAGTGTATAAATCAAGTTCCCACCGGCCGAATGGAAAAAAGATGTAAAGAGAAGTTTTTAGAAACCAACCCAAAAAAGTGTCGGGCATAATATGGCCAAAATCCCGAGTGTGTTCAAAATCAAATAATTTTGACTAAGGTATTCCACAAAGAGGTTGATTACTAATTTTGAACATAATTAAAGGAAAGTAAATGCACGAGAACATAAAGGAAGTATTTTTCATTGAATTTAAATGAATAAATAAGCCGTACAATGAGTTGTAGCTTGACTCTCTTCTCTCTCGAGCGTGAGGGGAGTTGAAACTCGCTAAATAATTTTAAAAGAATAGAATGAACAAAGAATGGAAGTAAGAACTTGAATTAAAAGCAATACAAAAGGTAAAAGCCTAAAAACAAAGAAACGAACAACTAGAACATAAACATAAACCCTAAAAACGTGTCCTACAACTAGAGAGCAACTAAACAAAGATGAAATGAAGCTTGGAAGGAATGAAATTCTGCTGGAGGAATGACTTCCTTTCATAGCACCATAGGTTGGTTGAAACTCCCCAAAATTTTAGGTGGAAATGGGTTGAGATTCACTTTACATACCTCACTTGGACTTGGACTCACGGTTTGAGATGTGTTTGAACATGTAAAAAATGTCCTCATTGCCATTCATTAATCAAAACGTGCCTTTTGCCATTTTGTTCTCCAAAAATGCACCGAGGGCAATTCTGCACAAAACATATTTCTGTTATTTTTTTCCAACTTTGACCGCAGTTTTCTCATATTTTTTCTAAAGTACCATAGTTTGTCTTCTATGAAGAAATTTTCTGTGTATGTTCTACTTTAAGAATATGTGGTTCTTTTTGGTAAATAATGATGGGAAATGGATCAAAATCGTGGTCAAACAGACCTCCCGACACATGTTTCTGTAGAAAAAAGTCAACCCTAACATTGTCTATCCCTTCCTCTCCTTCCATTACTTGTGTTATGGATGTAGAAAGCCAATAACAGGTTAGCAGTGATTTCGAGCATGACAAATAGCTATTGGAGCATTTGGATTCAGCCACGATCGAAATTCACTGCGAAATTGCACCTAGCGTAATTTTGTAGAGCACTCCACCGGCCACTCTACGAGGTATTTCGTTTCCTAACTTTTCAGATCTTATTTTTACTAAAAATCCTTTAGTTTTTTATGATTTAGAACAGAAAAAGACGACGTAAAAAATCTTCGAAATTTTGGTGGCCTGTAATGAAGCAATGGGAGAAGATTCATTGCAGGATGATGGAAACAGTAGGGAAGCTTAAGAGAGACTGAATTTTGATGGAGAATATGAGGATCTTGGAAATTTATCCCAAGAAGTCCATGGAGAAAAGTGTGAGGATGAAGAAGGAAACGACGATATCTTCTAGTTTGAAGTGCGTATGCACACTCCGATGCATGAGTCATAGTAAGATGAGGAGGAGGCCCCTATTCAAGTGCAAGAAGGAACATCCGGTCCTGTGGATATCTCAAATGAAGCCATGGAGGAATCATCTCCCTATTCTTCAAAAGGTATGTCCTCTTCTATTTCAAGTATGAATGTTTCTGACGAAAAATTCATTGCGACTGCAGAGAACTCAGAAGAAGAGGTGTTTTCACCAAAGTGGTGACAAAAGCAAAGAAGAATAAAATTTCAGCCCAAATTGCTCTAGGCACAATTTCGAGACCTCGCACCCGGGCAGCTGTAGCACATTTGGCCACACCAAAAGAAGCTGAGGTTGGTCGATCTAAAAAAGCCAAGAGGCCTAGCGTGCTTAAAGAGGCAGAAGAGCATCTTAAAGGGTTAATGAAGAGGAGCCCAGTTCTACCGAACAACAACCATCAAAAGCAAAAAGGGTGAGGATATAAGTGAAACAACTTGACTTTACAACCTGTGGACTCTTGATTAAGAAGGGCTTTCATGAAGAATAAGAGCCTATGCTAGAATATGTCAAGCGACAACTTGT